CTCGTCGGACACCTGAAAAACAAATATGGGCGTGCAAGGTTTTTTCAGCCCTGCACGCCCAATTTTTTTTTTTTTTTTTTTGCTCTAAAAATTACGAAAAAGAAAATCCTGCACCAAACTCGGTCGTTCGGCCTTGGCCGAACCTGGCCGATTCGGCCGCCGAGCACGGCCGCTGCCGAGTTTTTGCCCCCAGCCGTGACCGGCCGTGCAATGTAGGCTTTGGCGTGTGCGTGCGCCTGCTTGTGGGTTGGGATTTGCTTGGCTTGCTGCGTTCTGTCTTTGTCCTGTGTGGGGTGAGTAGTGTCGTTTGGGTGTGGTGGCAAATATGGTCTGTTTGTTTTGCTTGCCGAGAGTGACGTTTGCCTTTTGGCATTTTGTGTTATTTTTTAATTTATTTAATTTATAGCATTTGTGTGCGTGTGGTGTGCTGGTTACAGTATTTTTATTTTTAGAAAGACAGTTCCAATAACTAGTGTGTAATATTTATCTCGTTGCTTATTTATAAGATGTTTGTGCAGGTTTTGCCGTCTGAAGGGTCTCTGTTTGTATATTGCAGAGGGGAACTATGTGATCGCATGGTTTGTGTGCTGGGCTAGTCGTCTTACAATGTTTTGCTCTTACTGTTTTTCTTTCTTTATGGTAAAGTTGTGGTTGTGGTGTGGGATATATATATATATATTTTTTTTTCAATTATTATTTTTAACTAGATATTAGGAGAGCTCGTGTGTATGTGTTTGTGTGCTTGTGTTTGTGTGTGTGTGTATGTAAATTCTAGTAAAATATGTATGGTTTATAACCCTTTTCTCTAAGTATTTTCCTAGTTTATTTTTCATTATTATATTAATTTACTTGTTATTATTTTTTCATTATTAATCTTTTGTTGTTTTTTTAAGATTTGCAGTATTATACATTATTTTTATTCTAATAGTAGGTGGTTTATAAAAATATTTATTCTTAAAAAATTATTTATTATTTATTTTTAATTATTTATTAACTTATTATTTTCTATTATTATTGATTTATTTTTATTTTTTATTTTTTTTCTAATTATGAATGAAGCCATCATATTTATTTACAAAAAAAAAAAAAAAAAAAAAACTATATATACTAGCTAAGCGTCCGCGGTGCGGGTGGTGCGGACAATGCCCGCAAAAATAAGAAATGTTGTAGGGAACCTAACACAAACCACTCACATAAACTGAAACAGACTTAAAAAAAAAGAAGTGAATCATAGGGTAATAAAGAATAGCCCAAAACTGGCTACGAAGTCTGAGTTTAACTGACGGAAAAAAAAAGTGACAAATTGAAAAATCAATTGAAATCATAAAATAGAAGTTGGAGGAAGGCCGAGGAGAGATAGAGACAGACAAAGAGAGATAGAAAGAAAAGAAAAGATAGAGACATAGAGAGAAAGAGAGAGAGAGAGAGAGAGAGAGAGAGAGAGAGAGANAGAGAGAAAGAGAGAGAGAGAGAGAGAGAGAGAGAGAGAGAGAGAGAGAGAGAGAGAGAGAGAGAGAGAGAGAGCAAAGAATAAAGAAACACCAACACCAATATACAAAGAGAAGAAGTTTAATATGATGATTTATCGTTCCATTAAAGTTAGCAAGTGCCCGCAATATTATTAAGGCACAATTATTGCGTAATGGAATCCACCTTGATGTAAAAAAACGCAATAATATGAAATCAATATTATTTCCCTCTCTTTTCCTCTCTCTCTCTCTCTCTCTTTCTCTCTCTCCCCGACCCCCCATTTATTTATCTCTCTCTTCCTATCTCTTTTGTAAGGGCAATTACTTAATAAAAACCGAAACTGACCATAAAAAAATCTGCCATTAAGGGAACCCCTGGACGACCGCCTAATCAACATCTCTCACTTCTTATATCTCTTATAAGACCAATCAACTTCCTTCACTGGAACGATATTCTTGCAGCACCTCACGAATAGAGACTTGTTGCAACATTTTGCGACGATACTCCTCAAAAGTTATGAATCGATCCTATCTTTGCCGATTGTAATCGAGATGAATTGCAGCATCCACACATCTCCAAGTGTTCATGCTCGTATTCAATTTCGCTGCTGCTTCCACAATATCTTGCACCCTGTGAGAACTGTCAAGATAGGACAGGTGTGCAAGTGTCTTTTTGCGACAAATAGATTCAAGAGAGTCATAGACGACAATGTTAAAATTAGAAGAACTTGGTTGTTCCAAGGGTCCTGTATGGACATGAAGATGGTCTGTTGATGGCGTAATAGCGGACACAACACAACAGACAGGAGACGAATTAGTTATAGTGCCCGACAAAGCAGAAACGACAACAGAAGTAGTGACAATCGACGTTGACATATTGGATGGTGGAGCATAATCCGCAAGACGTTGAAAATTTGGAGGAGATGCTGCTTGAAGGGGGAGTCTACAGACCGGAGCGCAATGAGGAGTGGAAGAAGCAACCACGGGAGGAATTCTTTTGAGAAGCTGTTGTATCCGTGCGTATCTGTGAAAGGGTTGGGGAATGGGCCCTTCTGTCGGATAATGTGGCAAATAAAATGTCATCCTAGTAATCTCCTCATTAGAGAGAGCAATATACTCATCGCTCAAAAGTGAATTCAACATGGAAGAAGCCTCCAAATCCGAAACATTCAACGGGTTTGAAGGAAGAGCCTCGGGGGATTTTTGTTCCAACCGCATATTAGTGAGTTTGTTTCTTTTCCACTCGAGGAAGTTTTCCCATATTCGTCCATCTCTTACGGCTGTGACACTTTTGACAAACATTTCAAAAAACACCTCAGTGAAGACATTTTGTATGCCAACCTTCTTCGCATCCTCGAACCATTTCCCAAGGTAAGCACGTGGATTCAGAGCACGTGCGGGTTCATCCTTATCGTCGGGCACCACAATAACACCCGCAAGATTTTGCGGCTGCGATGTGGCACACACATCTCTTTCGCGTCCACTGCATTGAGATTGCGAACACGAATCACGAACACGTGCACGTCCAGCAAGCGGTGCACAAAATTCAAGAGATGCAAGTGCCTCGGCATGGAGCGCATTCAGCGCTCTTAAAATCTGAGTTCCCGTTTCACCAGCATCCGGTTGCCGTTTCACCCGATTATTACCGAGCGTAGGCTCGGGCACTCCGGGCGAATCCAAAACGTTAGTTTTCGCACGACGGATCCTTTTTCTCACGAATGTAGATTCAACCAAGTCTCCTTTCGAATCACCTGTAACGTTATCATCCTCGAGATCGCGAAATGTAAGGTTAATAGGCCTACCCGACTGACCTCTACGCGAACCATCCCCATCAACACGACAATTGTCACCATTCCCCTCCACAACCATTTTCTCAGCATCATCAAGGGTATTCTCTTGGGAACGTTCACGTTCAACCTCATGCAAAACAGGATGATCATCCCAAGGATGTTCACTTCCAAGATTCATCGACCTCTCATCATTCCCACTTTTCTTCGACCTCTCCGAATGTTCGGCTCCAGCTTTCGACGTAATATTCGTATCATATTGAGTGGTATTGCTGGTTCCCATTGCTTTCCTCTTAGCATGAGTGTCGTACTTTTGCGGCATTCGGGAGTTGCCTGCAAAGAAAGAATATGACCGAATTATTTGGAATGCCAAGGGTCGATGAAAAAAAAAAAGGACTCATTTCAAAAGTTCATGATATACAATATTCTTCGTAAAAAAATTCTTATCAGGCAACGCAACACGGATGTTGTTGGGATAACCAACACGCAACAAAGCAACGTACAGTTGGCCATGCGAAAAAACCGGTTTGCGTAGCTAAACCCCAGCACGTGATACCGTTTGTCCTTGCGACTTGTTAATCGTTACACCAAAAGCAAGACGGACTGGAAATTGCTTCCTAAACAATTTGAACCCAGTAGTCTCACCATCGCTTGTCAATCTTGGGGATCAGTGTTGTTTTACCCGTGTGCATTATTGTCACTTCCAACAAATCATCATTAACGATCTTTTTCAGAATCAGCCTTGTGCCATTGCAAAGTCCTTTTTCGTTTAACAAATTTCACAAAAGCATCAAAGGTGCACCAATTTTTAAGCGCAGCTTATGAGGTGGAAGCCCAGATTCATTGAGAGAGTTTAAAAACTCCCGCTCAATATCAAGCCCGGTATCATCTGAATCAGGATAATCAACACTGAAAAGTTCATGCACCTCCCCAGGGAAGTCGTCAAGAACACGGTTGCTAACAGAACCAGCATCGTCATTAGTTAGGCATAGAATTAATCGAGGCAAGAAATACTCGGCATCTCCCACATGGTTGGACACATCATCAAACGTCCATGAAATCAATTCATCAATTGGTTTATCCGTACAAATCTCACGTGGCAATCTGACCACAGCAGGTTCATTAGGAACAACGCGAGGATGGTCACCATTCCCAATATGCATCAAGAAGTGGTCATACATTCGTTCGTGTTATTTCGTCATCCCCTGAGCTTAAGATTTGCATATTTTCAGTCAGTTGATGAATCTCAAAAAGTTTCCACAAAGGGGACATTTTCATGGACGCATCAATTTGTTGCGCTCGCGATCCATGTTTCACAACGGGTAAAACCTGTCTAAAATCCCCAGCGAGAAGTAGAACTTTCCCACCAAATGGCTCGTCATTGTTACAGAGGTCCCGAAACGTAATGTCAAGAGCTTCCAAGTGAAACTTGTTACTCATCGGAGCCTCGTCCCAAACAATCAAGTCGGCACGGCAGATAAGTTCCGCGAGATCACTTTGTTTCGCAATCAAGAAGGGATGCGTGTTATCAGGTTTCAAAGATGCGTGAAATCGGGAGTGAAACGTTCGACCCCCCGTTAAAAGAGTCGCCGTTATGCCACTGGATGCGACGGTCAGTGCAATGGCAGAACGGGATCTGATGCCCGCAAAAATCGTTTCAATGCAAAAAGTCTTTCATGGTCCAGCCGATGCATCGACAAAAGCACGCAACGGTCTTTTCTCTTGCACAGCCCGGACGACTCTTTCCACCAACACTCGTTGACGTGGACGAAGACGTCGGAAATTAGAATCATATTTGCGTTGCATTTAAATCGGATCATACGATAACTCGTCGTTTAGAATCGAGGATACAGTTCTGTTCTCGTAATGTCTTGTTATGTTCTCAACAATTGTTTCCCCGTCAGGTGTTGGATAATAAAGGCAGAATTGACGGATGATTTTAGCAGACTCCTGTAGAATACGGTCAAGATGGAATAACACTAACGATTGTAAAACGTTCGGGGGAACAATTTCGTTGCCCGCACGATATTAAAAATCGTCACACATCTTATCCCAATGTCATTCAAAGAAATGGACCGGATGGTTCACAGGACCAAACGCAAGAACCATAGCAAATATTTTATGAACTTCTTCAGACATATAATGCGTCGCGGCTGTGTCGATGCATTGATCATATGCATCGTCTGTTTGCAAAAGGCCTAATCGAACACACGGATCTGAAAGAATCGTATTCGACTCCGTCCACCGTACGAATTTCGGCAAAAGAGCGCACCCCATGAGAATGTTCATGGTTTAACAACACGCGCAAATAGAATCGTTCCCCTTCGGTGATCCTCATGTAATGCAACCGAGATATCTTTTCGAAGGGACCACCATGAAAATCACGCTTTCGTCGGTTCCACTTCTTATGTTTGTTATCCCATACATGAGTATTAACGATTTCTGCGTAAAGAGGAAGTTAGGAACACCTTCATTCAAAGAGTTGTGTTCCATCCATGCCGTCAATTTCGTTTTCGGGGGTTCATGCGAAACAACCTCATGCTCAGTGTCAGGTTCGAATTGCAACTTTTGCATGTTTTCGAGATGCACAGACAATCTTTCCACCGCGGGCCATTGTTTTGCAACGTCAAACTCAAATAGACGCCAGCATGCTTCGCATGCACCTAAAACACGCATATCTTGATACAATTTAACTTCGTCGATGGGTGCATTATTATCCTGCTCGCAAACCATAGCACGTCGATCGCACCCTTTGTACAGGTACTTATACATGTACTTACACGCATTGATGTTAGCACAATATTCAACATTCAAGTGACAATCAAACCTCATTAGCAAGTACGGGTTATACGGGACCACACGCCGATTGTTGTAAACGACACCATTTTGAACAATCGTAAAACCACCATCACGCGGTTTCCTTCTCCTATACGAAGGGTACGTTTGCTCGTCTTTGAATATTGTTGTGGAAATGACGTCTTTCAGAAACCTTTTTGTGCATTCTCCGTCCTCCATACACGAAGCGCCGCGTTTCTCCGCACCACAAATCCCGTGCAACACGAACTTGGCTACCCTTTCTTTCAATTTCCCTTCCGGAGGAATCTCGACACACATCACATTGTCAACAGCATCCGCATCCTGAATTTTATCATCTGGATGCAAGATAACCAATATATGTGCGTGTGGTAGACCCCTTTTTTGAAACTCCACCACATACAACATTCCACTTACCCTATCAAAGATTCGTTTGTTCTTTATCTCATCAATCAGTTGTGCAAGATAACCCTTGAACACTCGTACGAGAAGATTCGGTCTGTCGTTAGGACATTGACGTGGCAACAGGGCTTGTTTAATCTCCGGCCAATTTGTTTTGCACGTCATAATGATGAAAAGATCCGGTTTTCCAAATCGTCTCACAATTGTCATGTTGTCGTGATATCTTTCACTCATATATCGAGGCCCCCCAGTGAACGTTGATGGTAAAACCACTTTTGTCCCAATACCATCACCACGTTGATTTTGTTGCACAGCGTCTCGTAAATCCTTATAATACTCCAAGCGCAATTTTTTTGGTGGAATCTTACCCATTTCAAGCGGAGGGATTCAACTTTAGCATACGCCATGCAACAAAACTCATGGAAGAGACGTGTTGCATAAAGGAGGCAAGACATTTCACCATCGCGCTCGTGAAGGTGAAATGCATAGTACTCCTTGGCACTAAGTCTTGGCGGTCATTCAGCCTCCGAGGCACGTCGGACGGACCAACTATCAATTCCCTCCGGGAAAAGTAAAACAAACCTTAAGCAATCGTGCGCGTGAGAACATTTTCGAACCACAACTGTCTACCGCTCACCAAGAAGAGGAACACGCAAACGAATCTCCAGCTCACGAGGAAGGAGTTCATCGCCCAATGAGAACACATACCTCATGTAGACCCATAGGACGGTTATAACGCTTTGCATGTTCCTCATCAGGCATGACATCCGAATTTATGACCAACTTCCTCCCATTCAAGGCTTCCTGCGGAAGGTCAGCAACCGTCATAAAGTCCTTCACTTAATTGTTACATTGTTGTAGCAATTCGTGAAACCTTCTCAATATTTGTTTCGCTCGATGAAGTTCCGCATCCGGTGTACGTGCAAGTAAGTTAAGGAAATTCACTCTTTGATCAATCGCATCGTCCAAACGTTAAGGATCGTGCAAGTATAGTTGCGCAAACTGAGGTCGTTCTCCTTCCCCGACAGCCAATGCACCGATACGATGAAAGATTGGACCTTGAGCCCGAAGTTGGCCCTGAAATCCTTGAATACCATCGCTCGGCTGCTTCAACTACGAGGATGCGAGGGATAAACTATTATTAATTATCCTCGCATTGTTTCGAAGGAATCGGCCGTCGGAACTTTGAGATGTCCAAAGGGAAAGAATCTCATGCTCTTGCGAGCCTTAGGAAGGCCATTCCCATAAAGGACAACATTTTGTACCTTTTCGGCAACACATCTTCGTCCATTTTGTTTCATGATGCCACAATTTAGCACCACAATGCTTACACGGATCTCGACTGCCAATGCCGAACGGTTCAACAGTGCTAGCATTCCCAAAAATCGCTATAGTGTTCTCAACCGCTGCATACGTTGTTCCCACGGGTGCAGATGGCAGTGCATTAAGATCAGGAGCCGGAACATCACGCAAATCATTCATTTCTTCATCGCGACTATTCGGTTCACTGTCTTCATGATTGTTCATTGAATTTCAATTTCTCACGAACGGATTTTGCGATTGCCTTGCTTGCGATGACAGACTCCACAAATACCTCGCCCGAGAAGATTGACTCCGCGATTGTCTCGCAAGAGAAGATGCATTCCTCGATTGCGCAGAGGCGCTGACTCGAATCTCTCGAAGGATATTCACAGTGAACAAACTTTGCCTTACACCCCGTACAAAATTTTATGAGCACGCACATCTTCTTTCCTCCTATGATTCTTAAGCGCAACTCTCAATGCACGCATACGTTTAACATTAACGTTTGGTCGTCTTCCCTGTCTTTTCCTTCGTTTTGAAATTATACGTGATGTAGAACATGGTTCGTTTACATTCATTCTATCGACTTGTTCCATTCGTTCACCAGCCTCTACAGTACTTTCAACAACTATTGCACTTGCATCATAGCCCGATGACACATGGTGAGGTATCGACGACAACGATCCAAGTTCCAAACGACGCACGACTTTATTTGCACGGAGCCGTCGAATTAATAACATACGGTACCGTCGGTTGCGCCTTGAACGAATCGGTTTCTATAATAATAATCTTTTCCGTCGATTACGAAATCCAACGAACTTTCTAATCAACGTGTTCGGCGAATTCGGCGGGGTTGTGGCAGCAGAAGATGGATTTGCATGAACATCCGTCAAGGGAAGACAAACATTACTCTCCACAAATTTTTGTGGGACATCGACAGTCAATGTGGATGATGAACAATTGTGCACATGTGCCGAGTGCGAGGGAAAATTATCGAATGAAACGGATCTTTCAACAATCGAAACGGAATCTGCATTTATTGCAACATCCGTACGAATTTCAAGTGGACGTTCACTTTGCAAGGCCATAAAGAGATTTCTAGGACAACTAATGTGATCCGTACCAACATTATTATCTCCTCGACTCATTCTGGTGAAAAACACGGAGCTTGTGAAATCATTCATCGATGAAATTGATTGTCGAAAAGATAGAGACCTATCATTACATTGTTCTTCATTAGAACAATCAAGACTATAATCTTGACTTACCACCGGTTGTTTATCTCTCTTGCGAGCAGTTGGCTCACCTACGGCACCTACCGCCTGTAATAAAGACCTCCGGGTTCGACGACTTTGGGAAGGTGGTCGTCCGCATTTGCGGTGTTCGTGTTGTGATGGCATCGCCGTCTCACTCGTAGAGCGACAGGGAGTAACATCCGAACCTATACGCAGTCCCAATCCATGGTTGGATGAGGAAGAAGGGCCCTCGAACGGAGACAAACTGACTTGACCTGGAACAATGGAAAGACACTGAGTACATTCTGATATTATCAGCGAGGACACCAAAGGATCATTAACAACCCTTTCAAAAGGCCGATGACGTTTGCGACGCTTCCACGGAACATGCAAGGACCTATCCGCAAGCGAAGAGAAGGTTGGAATGGTGGATAGATTACTATTGGTTGAAGTGTCACGTGACTCTTGGTCCTCTGCCAAATTAATGGGCACGTCACGGTGGATAGGAGTAAGATGCATATAGACAACCAGAACGAAAGAAATACAACTCAAAACATCCATATATAGATGTAATTATATGAAGAAGAGTAATATAGTGTCAGGTAGAAAAAAAAAAAAAAACAAA